GAACACCTATCTCGTGGGCGTAAAAAGTCTGCTGACCTTGAACTTTACCGCGGCGTACAAAGTCTGCCCGTGCGAACGCACGCTAAATGTTGTGTTTTATAACATTATCTGTAGATTTTATTATTTAAAGGTGTGAATTGTCTCTTTTTGTTGGTTTTATGTTTAATTATTTTTGATGAAATTGTTCTGAAATACTGCATAATAGAATTCGGATAGTACGCATTCCGAAGAGCAAAGATAAACGCGTAATATTGGGAATTTAGATAATAAATGATAATGTTCTAGGACATCGTTTCTGTGCAATGTTAATATTAAAATGTATTTTTACACTTTAATTATCTGCTCTAAAAGATAACCATGCATTCAAAAGTACAAAATACTGCTACTTTTTCATTCATAATTTTCATGTACATCACAACATCTAGAAATTAGTGTTTATGGACATGCAAATAACTTGGATAGCTAAAGTTTGTTCTGCAGGTGTATAGGCTTTTCCTCTTACGAGAAACTGTAACTTAACCCAGTTGGCTTTTATCTCTTTAGTGTTGCCAAGTGAAATGAGAAGGGGCCGAGTCGAAAGTCGCGACGTTTGCGAATCCTCGATGTTCCGCACTCCAATGTCGCACAGTCACGGAATACTCATGTCTGAATCAATGACCATCGACTTATACGTTTTCTTTTCTTTGAACTGTTCCAGAGCTGTTGAAATGCTACGGATATAGTCGATAGTTTGATGTTATTTTAGATTCTGTCGTATTTTTTTGTATGGTCTGTAATTTCGTTTGTTTTTTAGTTTGCTAGTTTTGTTTTGATGTTTATTGATTTGTTGGATTTGTATTATGATTGTCTATTGAACGCTGAATTGTAATTAATTGTTGCCTTTTTAACGCTCTCCCTGGACCCGGTGGGCACGCCGCGAAGTCAGGGTCGCTACCTTTCTCCAGATGGGTAAGATATTTGTCGCCGTGTGTATGGAATTGCATAAATAGTTTCAAAAGATGTGAAGTAGAATGCCTGTAACAGTGTAAATTTAATTTTTACAAATGTATTTCGGTGTACAATTATTAGTACATACAAAACCTCTTCTATAAAACAGCACGTTTGAAGTGCAACTACAGTTGGTTGCAATTGATTGTAAATATTTGTACCGATAATTGCAAAGTTAATTCGGAGCATAATCATATTCAGAAACTATTTTTATAGATATATTTAATTAGAATATGAATCCTGGTGTCCAAGAGATATACATGGTAGTGTTAACTGTATATTGCAGGTGATGCAGCAGGACGTGAAGAAGGAGAACCCGCTGCAGTTCAAGTTCCGCGCCAAGTTCTATCCGGAGGACGTGGCCGACGAGCTCATACAGGAGATCACGCTCAAACTCTTCTACCTGCAGGTATGTAAACTTTTTGATTTTGAACAAAAAAAGAATTATTCGGAAATATACTGTGATTGCTGACATCCTACGTAACTAAATAGTGTGAGTTTACGCTTTATTATATCAGTATAGATGATATGTACTTTCTTGTTGTGTGTTCAGTTACTAATGCATGTGTTTGTTGTAGGTGAAGAATGCGATATTATCTGACGAGATCTACTGCCCGCCGGAGACGTCGGTGCTGCTGGCGTCGTACGCGGTGCAGGCGCGCCACGGCGACCACAACCCCGCGCTGCACGCCGCCGGCTTCCTCGCCAACGACCGCCTGCTGCCGCAGCGCGTCACCGACCAGCACAAGGTGCCCCCCCCCCACACACAGATACACACACACACCTTACTTGTCTTGTAAATGTGAAAAATAGATGTTAGTTAGTATCTCTCGAAGAGCTCAACAGATCTTGATGGAATCTGGATCTTGATATGTCGCCACTGATGGTCCCGGAGCCTACCTTAAGATGGGGTGACTAAGCCATAGTCAAACATAAAACGTAATAACTTTCATCTTAAAATAAATTCTGTTTGTAATTAACTTATCTCGTGTAATTGCGATATCTTGTTTTCGTGCGATCACGTGTTTCGAGATATGCACCGACTGAGAGTATATCAGTGCGTGTGGTGACCGTGCGGCGCTGTGCAGATGTCCCGCGAGGAGTGGGAGCAGAGCATCACCAACTGGTGGCAGGAGCACCGCGGCATGCTGCGCGAGGACGCCATGATGGAGTACCTCAAGATCGCGCAGGACCTCGAGATGTACGGCGTCAACTACTTCGAGATCCGCAACAAGAAGAACACCGAGCTGTGGCTCGGCGTCGACGCGCTCGGACTCAACATATACGAGAAAGATGACAAGTTCGTACCGCACTACACTACACTACACTACACTACACTACACTACACTACACTACACTACACTACACTACACTACACTACACTACACTACACTATACTACACTATACTACACTTCTTCCATAAAATTGTATCGTTAACTAATATGTATATCGTTCACGTTTCCAGACTGACGCCTAAGATCGGTTTCCCGTGGTCGGAGATCCGCAACATCTCGTTCAACGACCGCAAGTTCATAATAAAGCCCATCGACAAGAAGGCGCCGGACTTCGTGTTCTTCGCGCCGCGCGTGCGCGTCAACAAGCGCATCCTGGCGCTCTGCATGGGCAACCACGAGCTGTACATGCGCCGCCGCAAG